TCCGGCCTACTTTGCTCATAGCTTCGGCAATCATATTTCCTACTTCGTAGTTATTCCCAGCACTTACAGCAGCAACATCAGCCAGTTCACTATCTTCCACCTGCAATTTATAATTTGCACAAAATCACAGGGCATTTAGTAAATAAGCCAACCAAGTACCAAGGTATAAGTAAACATAACTCCATAATACGATTATGCTTCAAAATTCCTGGGAAACTATAAACTGACAAGGTACCTCTTTTGACATTGACTCGAGCTCAGACACTAATGCTTTGGAGGTTTTCTCAATTCCTCTGGTGATGAGGACAGGATTTGCACCAGCTGCCACCACCTGGCACTCGAAATCAGAAATTTGATAAATTTTCCAAACCATTCAGAGATTAGCTGTGTAACATTTGATAAACATACCTTAACACCTTCAGCAATGAGACCTTGTGCAAGAACAACAGATGTTGTTGTCCCATCTCCAGCCAAGTCATTAGTCTTGGCAGCAGCTTGTCTCACCAATTTAGCACCAATGTTCTCAACAGGATCCTCCAACTCAACCTGCCCAAGTATCATGAATGTGTTCTTATAAATGGAACCTCATACATTACATGAGATGAAAATGGAACTAGAAAAGCATTGTGACAAGGTTTTCACTAAGACGTGGTGTTATTCACGGACAATGAATGACTTAGTAACCCAACTGAAGCAGCATGAATAATACTTAAAATATCATGACACCACCTCTTGGTAATAGGAGTCAAAAAAAAAAAATTTATATATATATATATATGAGTAAATGGCTTTATCGTAACATGCAATGGTAGAAAGTATCAGTAACTATTATTGGGTAAACAACATATTTTAATTCAACAAACTTCAAAAATATATCACTCTTGGATAACTAAGTGCGCATGGCAAGTCAATAGCTACAAATTAAAATAACAAAATAAGGTTATACTAGTAGCCCATCTAGCAACCACATGTATCCTCCCAATGAAAATTTTTCAAGAGTTGACATACCTCTCTAGCTACAGTAACTCCATCGTTGACAATTTTTGGGGCACCATACTTGCTCTCCAGAACCACATTTCTGCCTTTAGGTCCAAGGGTAACACCAACTAGATCAGCAAGCTTGTTCACACCAATCTGAAACAAGAGGAACATTATTCAAAAATTTGCACTGCACCAACTGCAATTTGAAATAGTATAGTATATAAACATCAGGTTCAGAGACTTACTTGCAGTTTCTTCATAGCTGATCCATCCTTATTGAAATACAACTCCTTTGCAGCTGCTCTTATCTGGGAAGAGCATGTTTTCTGGAGAACAATACTCTTTCTCCTTCCAAATGAACTCGAAGTTATAGAAGCCAATGATGACAACTTGTTTGAAGAAGTTGCAAGTTTGTGATCCCAGCAGCTGGGAGCAGCCAAGGATCCAACTGAGGACATGCCAGTGAAAGTTGACACCATTTGCTCTTGAAACCTAATGCGGACATTAGATTCTAGTGAGAAATTCAACAATGTAGGACAAAAATGTAGCAATTTATTGAAGGAAGAAACGAGCAGAAATACTTAATGTATTAGCTGCAACCAAGCAAAGACAATAGATAGAGGGGTTTAATAACAATTAAATTTTGTAACAGGACTTTTTAAATCTTTGCTTGGTAAAATCCTCAAAAGGGAAATTGGATGTTTGGATCATATCTAGGTCAAGCAGGTGAATTCATCCAAGGAGTTTTAGAAGATTGACTTTTTTTCAAACTGAATATAGACTAAATTTAACTTCTTTTTCAATTTCATAGAAACAGAGGCTCGAGAGACGGAAAATTATTTTCAGATTGCACTCTTGGGACTTGACACAGAAGCTCAATATATCACTCATGAAAAGAACCGAACTTCATAAACAAATATGGCTTTGCTCTTCATTATAAATAAAGACACCGGTTCCAAACAATATCCAATGGCCACGCATTAAAATTACAAACGTAACCCAAAATCCAATATTCTAAAACACGCCAGGTTCAACATAAAATCAAAATTATTGAACAGGAAACAGCGAATACAAAATGCAATTACAGGTTATCCATTTCATTTGACGAACATTCTTAGAAGAAGAACAAAATCCATATAACGAATAATGAAAAGCGAATAACTTACAGATAAGAATATGCTGTTTTTGCCGGTGTGAATGAGAAGAACGTAAGGAGGGGTTTATCTAGAAGCTGGAAGAGTGAGAGTTGAGATAGTAGTAGGGTTTACTGTATAACAATTTGGGTTGTGCTACTTGGCATGTATAATGAATAACATAATATACAAGTGGTAGTGCTGTGATGTCAAGTAGAATTATCCTAACAATTTCGGTCACGTTTACTCTCGAGGCTTCCACTTCATCTCAGCCGTTAATTAGTTCTGCTGTCCTGCACTAGAACAGTCTAGACATTATGCCCAACTCTTCTAAGGAATTTATTTATCTCCTCATATTTTTTTTATTACTAGTTATATGCCCATGCAATGTATAGGTCTGGGTATTTTTAAAGTAATATTAGTGTATTAAATATTAATGGCAAGCTAAATTATTGTGAAAATTTAGTAAGTTTTTATCTAACATAATAATGCACGATCATAGAACATTTATGGTGAGTTCGGTATAGATTAAAATTGAAAAACTAACTGTTATTGTTAACTTTTATTAGATGAGTGGGACTCAATAACAGCTATATTTTCAATTTTAATTGGATTTTAAGCCCTCCCTAACATGCTCTTAATCCGTATACATGTCAATGTCTTCCAATTACAGTCCTTATATATAAATCAAATTATTTATTAAAGACCACACGAATAAAAAAGAAAAACTTAATTTTTGCAAAAAAAATATATATATAATCATGATACTCTTCAAATGCATCTTCTTTGTCGGCAATTAAGAAAGCTCAAAATCCCTCTAATGAAAGAAATAATACAATCTCAGAC